AATAACCGTTGGAGTGCTACAGGGCAGCATCTTAGGACCTCTTCTATTTCTTATATATATCAATGATCTGCCTAATGTCTCTAATATTCTTAAACCTATATTGTTTGCTGATGATACTACTCTCATCTATTCAGACCCCAACCCACATACACTAAATAATGTTGTGAATAATGAATTAAAAAAGTCCACTTATGGATGTCAACTAACAAACTAGCACTAAACATAAAAAAGACCTACTACATATTATTTGGAAGCAAATCATCGAATGCAATTCAGCTACAGATAGACGACATTAACATCAGTAATAAAATTGATGGAAAGTTTCTTGGCCTATTCCTAGACAAGAGACTCAACTTCAGCACCCACATTCAACACATAACTAAAAAAGTCTCTAAAACAGTTGGTATACTCTCCAAAATCAGATATTATGTACCTAACTCTGCTCTCATCTCTCTATATTATGCACTAATCTATCCCTATCTTAATTATGGTATCTGTGCATGGCGTTCAACCACTGCAAACCACCTCAAGTCCATCATCACCCAGCAAAAGTCAGCTATCAGAATAATAAGAAATTCTGCTTTCAGACAACACTCAGCCCCCTTGTTTAACTCCCTAAACATGCTAAACATAATCTCACTCCATAAATTCTCTTGTGTCAACTACATTTACAAAACCCTGTTCTTAATCGCAAATCCTGCTCTGAAACTCTCCCTGAACAGATGTAATAGGACCCATTATCACCACACCAGAAATAAATATCTCTTTGATATCCCCAGAGTCAAACTTAATCTGTGTAAACACTCTATGCAAATAAAGAGACCTAGTCTATGGAACTCATTCCCTAATGAATTGAAAAGCTGTCCAACTTTTACGTCATTCAAAAACAAAAGTAAAAAGTATCTAATTTCATCTTCATAGTTTTCTACCTATTGCTTTATCTTCGCTCTATATCTAGTGCTACCCAATCCCTCAATATTTGTACCTAAGCCATATTACTTTACCATTGTAATCTTAGATATCATCTGATAACATGATTGTTGTATTGAGTGCATATTCTACTGCATTATTCCTTGAAATGTTATTCTAATATACCTAGTAATCCTTGTTCATTATTGAGTATTGTTATTATTGTGTATTATTCTAATTTGCTTTTGTGTCAAAATTTCTTGCAATGTACCTGTAAGCATTTGTTGTAAATTTTACTGTAATTATTCTACTTAAAATTATCTGTACCTGTAAAGTAAAGCTGTAAAATACCTGTAATCATCTTTTGTCAATTTTACTGTTAATTATATAAAAATTATCTGTTAGTTTAAGTACTAGCCCAAAACACTATGCATGCTAGTGACTTTACAAGAATGTAAATTCAACTTAATTTCTATGTTCTCTGTCAATCCCCAATGCACCTTCTTGTATATAAATAAATAAATAAATCTTCGTCCACATGTTTATTGTCAACAACCAACAGCAACAACAACAACAGATATACGGTACTTAACTTACTATTTACAAGAATATAAACAAAAGAGCATCTGCTCAAAACATGCTACGCTTAACATCTGTAGTACTTAATCTTAACGTCACCTTTCCTAAGTGCCCTGTAAGTACTGCCCTTGGGGCTTGGGATTATCTTCCACAAGTCACCTTGGGGTCTACCTCTGCTGGGTCTTTTGCTGCTCGGTGATTGACCGCCCTTGGAGTCAGCTGGGGTGTTCATACTCCCCCTGTTTGCCTCTGAGTAGGGGATAGTTTTTGTCAATAGTTGGGACATGGGGTACTGTGCAGCCAGTTATCACTGCTCATAGCAGCCGGCTCTGTTCCGCCTGGGTACGTTATCCTCTTGCGGGGTTTCATTTTCCTTTTTGTTTTTCCAGCCTGGTGGTAGAATGGGGGGTCTGCCTTTGATTGGTCACACCCTATTGTATTTTGGTGGTCCTCTGCTAGGCCCCCGCGAGTGTACTTGCCTGGGGATTCAGCTTTAGCAGTTTGCTTGGTAGTTTTGGGCGCTAGTTAGCAGTACCCTGCTTAGGCTTCCCTTAACGGAATACCATGTCTAAGAGCCCTGGAAAATTCTGCGGGGGGCTCTGAGGTCCATTGGATGCGACCCCCTGGGTCCCCTCTCGCTTCATGCGAGTTTAAAGGTTGCTCTGTTCCCTTGTCTCAGAGTGACATTCATTGGGTGTGCCTCCGTCATGCTGCCTTTTGGGTCGGTGACACATTCTACCCGAAGTCTTGCAAGTTTTGTTGTTTGTTCGTACTCCAGTTCACCCATACCGATGATCATGATGTGCGGGTGCAGGCAGCTTCAGTGTTGCATGCTCGATTTCAGTTGCTGCAGCATGCAAGGTTGGTTGCTGCCCCGGATGCCCCGAGACTGCCCCGCTTTGGTTATAGGGACCCGGACTTGGGGGTGTTAGTTGCCTCGACTTTAGTTCCATCCACACCCTCTTGTCCTTCTCCTTCTGTTGTGCATTCTGGTCCTCCCTTTTGCTTCTGGCATCGAAGCATTGAGGGCTTCGGAGTCGGGGCAGGGTTTATTTGGTGTTGAGACTCGGGCAGTTTAAAGGGGAGTTCCCTTTCGGTGTGGCGGCAGAGGCATTCGAGCAT